TTCCGAAACTTTTTTAGTCAATACCGGGCATCCTTGAATTTATTATACGAACGACATTAATGGGAAAAGAAAGTTCTGAATAACAATTGAAAACACAAATCATATTCATTAGTTATCTAGTTTTTATCTGCATACATACATATATTATAATATTCTTTCTGGAACTGTTGCTATTTTTTCTTGAAATAAACTTGCTTTAGACAATAACAAATATAGTAAATATCGAACAAATTGTTCTTCTCGGTTTTGTAGAGAGAATAAAATCCGTAATTTTAACATTAGCGTTTTAAAGACTGATTATGTAGCTAAGTATTGATTATATCCTTTATCACTGAATATTTAGCATGTAGCTTCCTTTCTATGTTGCTCCTTTGCCTCCTCGCCGGAAACATCACGAACGCATCTAGCCATTGTTGGAGAGGCTCGAGAAATGGGATCAGTCATAAAATATTCTTGCAATTTCTTTTGCTTCACGTCAATTTTTGTATTATCAATTGACTTTGACTGAAAAAGAGACAATTCATGCAAATAAAGAAGTCAAAAATATACAAAGGTCATAAACGTACAACGCCCAACTGCTCGTTCAAGCCTCCGAACGTCGATGATTCCAATTTTCCCAAACGTAGCAAATGTGGTGCTATGTTTTCGATGCGATTCCTTAATTCATCCAAGTTATCATAAGGTAAAGGTGTGCCTAAAGAACATCGATGCATTTACATGTATTTCCATTTCCACATCATTTTATCTTAAAAACTTACCTAAAACCTCGGACAATGCCCTCAAAATTTTCCAGTCTTCACGTGCCATACCTGGTGGTGACACCGCGGCTAGTGTTTGTTGTGCCCGACCCTCTGTATTGACGAAAGTTGCCTGCTTTTCGGTATAAGCTGCGCCAGGGAGTACCGCGTCAGCAATTGATGCGCCATTATCGCCATGATGTCCAATATAAATAACATAACAATCTTTGGGTAGCTTTTCTCGAGTAATTTTTCCAGCATCAGCATTAAGCAATATGAGAACTTTTGGCTGAGACTTTAGGGCAGCTTGAACGCCGGGTTGATAACCTACGTCAAGAGCACCAGTCTGGCCTGCATTGTTTTGCAGAACATTAAATGAGTTCCAACCCTATAAATTGAAATAATTCACATATATTAAAATGTTTTTTTGTTTTTTTTTTGTTTTTTTAGTTTGCTGATAAACTTTATTGCATGTGAACGGTTTTCCCCATATAAGATTTTGATAGTTCGGAGATCGATTTATAAATTCTGCGGTTATTTGACAGCGTTTAATGTCAAAGATCATGGTCCCCGTTAAAGTAACTTACTACAAAACGGTCTTCAATTCTGATAAGCTCGACATCGCCTGCGCACCCTTCGATACTGAATATTGTAGTATAAGATGAATCTAGGTTGAGCATAATAGAGTTGCTAAGCAACTTCGGCGTGTTGCGCGAGTTGTGGGCAGTTGGTCTTACTCTTTTCTCATAGGTGGCTACATCCGTTGCCATAGTTTCAACGAAGTAGAGTTTGATTTTTGGTCCGGCGTTGGGCTCAACATCATCCCAAAAGCAGAAAGATGTGGAGCAACCCTGCTGCAGGGTTATGCTCCAGACACGGACAATGATTGGTAAGGTTCGGCGATCTGCCGGCAGTCAGGGGAATTATTAACTCTTACCTGTTTATTTAACTTTTTGCAATATGAAGAGACAGTTGCATGTATGCCAGCTGCATCAGCTCTTTCCAACAAATCTGCTCCGAGTATAATTGCAGGTTTCTTAGCGCTTTCCAAAATTTTTGAAAAGGGATGTCCACCGCTACAAATTTGACTTATTAGACCAGCGTCTTCGCCCAAATTCTCATGGTCGTATGACAGATCTATTTTGGGACCAATAGAAGCAATGTCCATTTCATTATTGATGTAAGATTTGCGTAATCGTGTATTAATTAAGGGAGCTTCATATCGCGGATTAGTGCCGATGAGTAGGACAGCGTCTGCTTCTTCAAGGTCTAGGATCGAAATAAATGAGTAATTAAAATTTTACATGTGGTAAATGCTCGGTCAAACACTAACTGGTCCTACCTGCTATGGTGGAATTGCAAACATAGTTTGAACGCAAATCTGAACCGGCGCCTTTAATATTTAAGCTTTGTTCCGTGCAAAGAGTTTCAGCGCCATTTCGGTTTAATAAATCTTTTAGAGCAACAAGAGCTTCAACATCAGCTAGTTGACCAGCTACCGCAGATACAGCGCCTTTGGCGTTTTTAATAGCTTTAGCAACAGATATTAATGCGCCCTCCCACTCTACGGCTTGTAATTCACCATTCGGCATGCGAACCATGGGAGCAACTAAACGTTGCCGCTTCAAACCATCGCAGGCGAAACGTGATTTATCAGCAAGCCATTCTTCATTTATATCTTCGTTTTCGCGTGGTACGATTCGGAGCACTTCGTTTGTACGTGTGCTTACTACAATATTGCTTCCTATAGCATCCAAAACATCAATACTGCTAACTTTGCGAATTTCCCATGGGCGAGCCACGAAACTATTTCAGAGATTTTGAGGATTATATTTTATTTTTTAATACGTATGGATTTATTAAAACATTATAAGCGTTACCTATAGGGTTTGCTTGTTAAAGCGCCCACGGGGCATAAATCGATAACATTTCCTGAGAGCTCGGAGAGGAATAATTTTTCAACATAGGTTCCTATTTGCATATCATTGCCACGTCCAGTCGTACCAAGATCTTCAACACCAGCTACTTCACAAGCAAAGCGCACACAACGTGTACAGTGAATGCATCGAGTCATGACAGTTTTGACCAAGGGTCCAAGATTTTTATCTTCAACGGCTCTGTTAAAATAAAATGAACATATAGATTTACATATAATGAATATTTTTCATAATCCTGCCTTTTGCCGGTATGGTTTATGTCAGTAAATCTAGAACGATCTGATCCAAACGCCATTGCCTGATCTTGAAGATCGCATTCACCGCCCTGATCGCAAATTGGACAATCTAGTGGATGATTCATAAGAAGAAATTCCATCACGCCTTCACGAGCCTTTCTTGTCATTTCCGAGTCAGTCTTTATGCGCCAACCCTTCATTACTGGCATGGCACATGCTGCTACTGGCTTAGGACTTTTTTCAACTTCAACCAGACACATCCGACAGTTGCCTGCAACAGCCAGGCGTTCATGATAACAAAAACGCGGAATTTCTACACCGACCAGAGCACATGCCTGCAAAATCGATATGCGCATATTGCTATAAAAATACTTTTATATAACGCAAAAATATCACCTGCAGGACAGTTGTTCCGGGCAAAACTTTTACGGGGACGTCATCAACAAATACTTCTATTTTTTCTGGTGCTTTTGCTGGTGTTTGTGCCACCACAGCGCTGGTGCGAATCGCTTTACTTGCAATCCGATGTGTCGGTGAACCGAAGCTTCCTTGTAAGACCTTGGTAAGCGGCGCGCGAAACATGTTTTCCTATAAGAAATTAAAGCAGTTCAAGAACACATTTATAAATTCCTACAGTAAAAACTTTTTCCGTCCCCATGAATTACATAAGCTGATGCACGAATTAAAGGCCAATTTAAATTTCAAAATTACCTAGCGTATTGCCGATAATGCGTGTTTCGCTGGTTTTTTATTTTCTCAATTGCAGAGCAAAATATGATAAAGAAAATACTTACCAAAGGTATTTAAAGGTTTTCTGAAGACAGAAAAATAACAGAGACGTCCGATTGTATTTTTTTTATGAAGATATTTTGCCCAAGTCCATATGTCCACTGACAGTTCAACTACGACGATTATGAAGTGTAATCTTCAGTTTGTCGATTGATTTTTCACAAACAACGTAAAGCTTAAGGCCCGTATACACACACCGTTCAAGTTGCGTATGTGAAATAGCGTATAAGTTCATGAACCAATTAGAACAGATCTGACCGGTTGAAAAGCAGCCATTTGCATTAGCATTTCGTTACCATTTTCGTTGCTGAAATGTAAAAAAAACCGTAACTGACGAACATTTTTTTATGGCATAAAACGACGCGGAGACTGATAAATCAATAAATGCGTCAAAATTAATCAAAAAGTGAATTTTTCGATTTTTCGTTAGTTATGGTTCTTTTTTATTTCATCGACGAAGTGAGTTAGGGCCTTTCTATATTAAGGTAACGATTTGAGAAAATAGTATGTGACGTACGTAATTTTGAAGTTTGCTAATTCTGTTTTGTTTTTTTCTCTTTCTTTATTTGAATTTTAGCTGTAGTTTATTTCAGTTATTTTTAAGCGATTTTCAATAAATGTAATTAAAAGGAAGTGCGCAATTGCATCATCCGCGTCTTTCCTTTCCATGTTTACGCTTTGAGTACAAAATCACTTATGAGCCGCTCGCCGTCTGCAGCAAACGACAACGAGCATGTTGGCGCACATGTGCGCGGATATGTTCGTCATGTGTAGCACTGTTACCCACACAAAACCGGTTTTAGGTGGACTGACCAGTCCAGTGTGCGGAGGCCCATTAGCTTTGATTACCATTTTGTTCGCATCCCTACAAGAATTGTGTGATGGAAACTAAACATTCTCATTTATCTTACTAACACATTTGCAAATTTTGCGTTGGTTAAAAAGAGACCAATATTTAAGGCCATAAGTTGGAGGAAGACGGAAGATCATATGTACACAAATGTTTACATCAGATTTTTCACACTGCCCTTTAGAATGTGATAGAAACTTGTAGGTAGCCAGTGACAGAATCTCTATCAGCCTTGCCACTCAAATGATTTGTCAAATGATAGTCACTGTTCTTGCAGGGATCTCTTTTCACATTCCCGGTCGTTTGTTTTCTTCCAGGTCTGCTTCGAGTTTCCGCAACAAAAGTTTTCGTGTCTGAACATCGACCAGATAGCAGAATTCGATAAAAAATTCTGATAAATATTAGTAATCGTTTGTTTATAATCGAATCATGCTATCGGTATCGAATAAAATTCGATTGAAAAAATTGGTTTTCGAAAAGCAAATCATTCGGATTCGAATACTCTCTACCATGAATTGGTATTTGCCCTTGTCTTTCAAATCGCATTGAGTTTATAAAAAAAAACGGCGAATGGAATACCATAGTTTGTGCGATTTCGTGGTTCACCCATGGAAGCCAATTGGTCACCTGCTTGGCAAGGACCATAGATCCCGCGTACGCAAGTTTCTAACGTCTTCTCCTTATTCAGTATACCGACTTAGCTTCTGTTTAATATTTTCAGGTGGATTTGCTTGGTCGGCAACATCTTTCAAAACTTCCGAGGTCAAATGCATTATATATTTCGCCCCTTTATTTGTTTAGATCTTTGTAGGCAGATTACGAAATATAAATTATTCCAACTGACAATTTCAGCCATTAAATGATACCGTCAATCGATAAAGTTTTGGTTTAGCGACTTTTTTTCAATACGAGCTACTGTTTTTTACTGTTATAAAAATATTCTTAATTCTACAACATAAACTAAACCGAGCTCCAAACCTTGTGAAAAATTAAAGAAAATTCAGCGAATTTTCATAAAAATACTGCACTTTTTAATTACACTCTTTTGAAAAAAGTTGAGTATGGAGTTTTTTAGCCCATTCAATTTTAGTATAATAAAGTGCAAGTTTCAGGTAGCTAGGACTTACCAATGATTTTTGAAAATTTTTTTGTCGAAGGTGTCGCTCATTTTATCCATATAAAAAAATGTTCGATTTTTTTTTTGGTTTGGAGCTCTGATTTTTGGGGTTTATGTTGTAGAATTAACAAATATTTTTATAAAAAAAATTGCGAAAAATAATTTAAAAACAGTTGTCCGTACTGCAAAAAAAAAAATTGCTGTACCATAACTTTACTGATTGACTGTAATTAGTTTTATTTTAAAGTAAGAATTTTTGGTATGGAAAATATTGGTTATGCATATTTCACTTATTCGTGATATTTTGTGAGCATTTCATATACTTTTTAGTTAATTTTTAAGTATATCGCACGTTTAATAATATAACGAAGTATTTCTAAATTTCGATTTTGGGGGAAAACGCAATTAAAGTTTTATAATTTCATTCAGTTGGTATACCAAAAACCCATGGAAAGACACATATCTTCGCCATATTTGGGAAGATTGGTTATCTGTTAAACTGAACATGTTCTACTTATCAAGCTTATTATTTGCATAATGAAATCTCCAAAAACTTAAATTTTGAGTTACATTCTATATTATTAAACGTGCGATATGATATGTACCTCACAGTTGAAATAAAAACTTAAACAATTTAAGTTTTAGTTTTAAATTACTTCATTCAATGTGAAAATTTCTCCGGGCCATACAAATCAATAGATATTGGGGGGTTTTACTCCAAATGATAAACTTCTTTTATTTAGACATTTGTAAAATTTTTTGTTTTATTTGTGTTTCTATAAATATATGTATTTACTTGTAGAGTATATGTATGTACATGTTTTCTTTTGGAATATGGTATATCTCAAAAACCAAGATATAAAACACGTGAGAAGTCTAAAATTAAGTAAATATGTAATTTGATAGCTGCGAACCATACATATCTCCGATTTGTTGCAGTCACCTTCCCCAAAGTAACTTATATTCTAAACTGGTGATGTTTTTTAACATTTAACTGACGCACACATCCACATCCCAAATTAAAGAAGCGTGTGAAAAATCAAACCTCACAAAAGAGAAAAAGCTTCTCATTACCGTAAGCATAATACCAAACAGAATCAATGCTGAAAACTATTGAGGTTTCGCTGGTCTTTAAATTTGCATCTTTCAATCGGGGCACTGATAAGCGAGCAAACATTTTTCGATAGCAATTTTTCAATGTTTAATTAAATCATTTTTAGTAAACTAAATTTTTTTTTTTAAATCTATAAATAGTTTCAATACGAAAAATTCGCGAGACAACTACTACTTATTTAACTTCTTCGTCTTGTGGGTTAGCGGCGCGCTTCCGAACACCTTCATCATTAACATTTGTGTTCGTGGCAGATGCGGCGGCAGTAGCAATGGTTTCAGTGACTCCCTCGTTAGAATCTTCCTCCTCGTCGTCATAGTTGGTCGGTTGCTCACCTTTGCGTAGTAATTTGCCTACCAGATCATATTTTTCTAAAAACAAGAAAAAATTGCATATCATATGGCATAATATTGGCATACATATATGGGGTATTTCATCGTCACGGGTGGGAAATTTGTAAAGTAAAAAGTTGCTTTCTCTTTTAAATTCAACTATAAACTACTCAGAGATCGCGCATTTCAATAAAGCTACTAATATGTGTTATTACCAAATACGAAAAAATTCCAACTATATTCTATATGGAAAATTCTTATTCGTTTCTTTTGTCACAAGTGGGACAAAAAATCATTACGCTGCTTTTTGAAGCAGCGCTCGGCCCTCGGCAGGCAATGGCAAACCTCCGAGTATATTTCTGACATGAAAAACAGACATGACAAAATACAATCGGCGTTCGGAGTCGGCGTAAAACTGTAGGTCCCTCCCCTTTTAGTGACAACATTTAGGCACACGCCACAAATCGGAGGAGAAGCTCGGCCAAACACTAAAATATGTGTAAGAGGCGATCTTTTATTATTATACAGAAAATAAACAGCAATACTAGCAAACCAAAAACTAAACTCATTCGGTGTTTTAAGCAAAAAAATTAAACTGAGCTTCATATCAGTTTTGTAACTTAATTATATTAAATTTATAAGTTAGGAACGGTAGTGGATTTTTTTGGTTGAAACTCTCGAGGTAATTATCTGTATGGACTTTTGGACTGCCAGGAGCAATGCCACACTTGTGGTTAAGAACCCCTCTGTTATCATGGACTTCTCTGCCGTCTCTAAGATGGTACTGATTGCCTTGACATTTCGAGCTGACCACGCGGAATCTTTTACCACATCCCATAGCCCATCCACTGCAACTTTTCCGTCGGAAATCGCAAAAAAGGATTAGTTTTGGGGCTTTCTTTTTTTATTGTAAGGATGCAAGGGCGATGAATAGTTTCAAAATCTATAAAGCAATCACTAGTGGCTAATATAAGAAATTAAATAAGACTATAAGACAAAAACGCAATACAAAATCCCTAAAGTAGTAACTGAGGAATATGAAGTTTAAAACTTTTTTGTAACGGGTGGGACATAGAAAACCGTAGTGATTTAATCCTGTAATACAATTGAAATACCTAATTTTCTTCAATGCAATGTAAATGCGCTGGAGTATTGAGACAATTATTTGCAACTTAAAAAAAAAAATTTTTTATGAATACCTTTAAATTGCATCTCCCATTCTCGCACTGAATCCATTTCCATAGCATTTAAGTCACTCAAATCATCATACTCCTCTTTATTATTCGGTTCAACATTAAAAGTAGCCAAATTTCGTGATGCATCTCGCCCAGCGAACGATGCATATGGCCCACCTGTAATAAAAGAGATTAAAAATAAAACAAAAAAACATGAGGACAAACTATGTACATATGTGTGTTTTAACAATCTTTAATGAGTCCGCAAAATATTCTTGAGTGCATATATGTATATGTACATATATGTGTAAGCAGTGATAAAAGCGATTAAAAATAAAACAAAAACATGATGATAAACTATGTACAGATGTATGTTTTAACAATCTTTAATGAATACGCGAAAAATTCTTGGGTGCATATGTACCTACATGCATACAGTATACATGCTACAGTAGATTTTTTTGCAATGCGGACAACTGTTTTTTTAATTATTTTATTTTTCGCAAATTTTTAATAAAAAAATTGGTTAATTCTACAACATAAACCGCTAAAATCAGAGCTCCAAATCTTGTACAAATTAAAGAAATTTCTGCTGTTTTTCATTAAAAAGTAGCAATTTTTAATTACAATCTTTTGAAAAAAGTTTAGTATGCAGTTTTTAGTCCATTCGATTTTAATATAATAAAGTGCAAGTCTGAGGTAGTTACGACTTACCAATGATTTTAGAATTCTTTTTTTTTTTGAAGGTCAAATAAAATAATAATATAAATAATTTTAGATTTTTGTAGTTAAAAATGTGTGTGTATAAATTTTGGTCCCGATTGGAGTCGGTTAAGGCGTGTCGCAAGGGGTCAAAATGCCTCTACGGAGACACGAAAAATAAACAAATTTTTTTTTATCATTTAATAACCAAAATCGAGACTACTAAATTCGAAGATATCACATGTAAATTTTGGACCCGATTGCAGTCGGTTAAGATGTTTTGAGTGGGTTCAGATTAACTTTGACCCCTGTGCGACACGCCTTAACCGACTCCAATCGGGACAAAAATTTATATGTGATATGTTCGACTATGGTAGTATCGCTTTTGGGTATTAGATGAAAAAATAAACAAATTTAATTTAATTTTTCGAGTCTCCATAGAGGATTCTGACCTTTGCCCCTGTGCGACACGCATTACCCGTTTCCAATCGGGACCAACATTTGTATGTGATATCTTCGTAGCATCGACGTAGGGGTTGAGGCTTAGGAAATCTGATGTAAAAATTTGCTTCCTGCATTTAAGGACCACCCTAATGTACATATATGATAGCGTTTACAAGAAGTAATTTTCTGTAGATCATTTAAGGTGAAACATTTCGCAAATACATGAAATCTTATCTTTTGCGCATGCATCCGGCTTTATGTTCAGAAAAGTACATCACTAAATACCCCTTAAGAAAAGGCAAACCAAATTCTCTAGTTTAAACAACTAATTTGATTGAGGTCTGAGGCCAAATACCTACAGACGATGGAAAAAAGATTCTGTTGAATAGGAATTTATCAGTGATGCATATACCTATGTATCTTAATTACTAAGCCGATAGAATATGATAAGATGTGAACATCGATTCACTAATATACTATGTATTTAATTTACTAATAGAATTTATGTATACATTTGAAAGCAACACAATTTCCTGCGAGTATGCATAATGCATCACCTGATAAAATGTATGAACCCAGCTTGCCGCTTCATTCAGTTTGGTAAATTTGTTAAGATAATTTGATGAGTTTGCTCATACGTTTGGAAGTTAATCTAATTTGAATAATACTCAACATATGCTTCTCCATTGCTGTTTTAAGCGCCACTCACACTTACCTGGACCGTAAAAGCGTTTTGCCTTTGTGACGTCATACACGGTGCCATTCACTGCAATTAATATACGTCCATCCGGCCCATTTCCATCATACGCACGTAGTTCTTGTATAGTAAAATCGCGTCGTAATTTTGGAAGTTCAGGTGCCGGCGGTGAACCATCACCCGACTTATCTCTGGGCACTTCGTAGCGGTCCCTTACGATTTTATAAAACAGAAATACGATAACAGCTACAAGTGCTAAATTCAGGGGGCTGTAGATAATCTCTTCCACAATTCCGAGCAATATGGACGAAGATTTTTCATCGCCGGCAACTTGGCCGCTGGTGTCAGCTGCTCCTGTGGACGCTGCCATGCTGTACAATAAATACGTGTTTTTTTCACTACTCCCTAACTCGTACTTTGATCTTGAGCCCTTGCACCACTGTTTCTATCGTCGCATTCGCTATATTTAACTGTTTGTCGAATCTTTGCAGTTGCCTCGCGTTCGGTGGATTTCGTAGCAAATCGTAAAAGTTTTATGAATTTTTTTAACTAAAATGACAGGAATTTCAACGTACACTCCCCAAAAGAATAAAAATAATGCGCATTGATGAAAAATTTATATTGACGTTAGGAACGAGCTACCGCAAGATGTCGCCCTAATAACATTAATGGAGCATTTAGTCGCAAACGTAGAGTGGCTAACTACATGAACCATAAATACAAGATCACGTAAGAACGCGACGTTGTATTTGTAACTTGTTTTGAGAAAAAAGTTTGCGAAAGCGGGTTCGTCAGCTGAGCGTTTGTTTACATCACAAGCACCACTATTTTACACTTTTATTCAAGTAAAGAAGAGTTAATTCAACATGACAACACATTTTAAAGCATTTTGTTGCATCGTTTTACCTAAATTGTGCGTTTAAAGTGGCTGACAATAATTTTGGCAAATTTTGGTTTTCGTTGTTTTTTTTGCTTTGTTTACTTTTCGCTCGTTTTCCAGTGAAACAAGATGGCGTAGAACCCGCCAAAAAATCGACTTTTTTCACTCTCTTGTTCTTACGTGATCTTGTGTCTTTCGTTCATGGCTAACTACAACGTTAAGGTCCCGCAAGAATCGCCAATTGCGGTATTAGCCAAGGCGAATTTATACAAGGCGGTGTTGGCCAAGGCGAATTAATACAAGGTGGTGTTATCCAATCATACAAGGCGAATTTAGATTTTTGCCGCGGTCCTTCTGAATGTCAAAATGATGTGTTTGTTGTAAACAAAGCGAATTCATATTACAATAAACACATCATTTTGACATTCAGAAGGACCGCGGCGAAAATCTAAACACGCCAATAATACCACCTAAGTGAACTTATACAGGGTGGTGTTACTGGCGAATTTAGATTTTCGCCGCGATTCTTCTGAATGCCAAAATGATGTGTTTGTTGTAAACAAGGCAAATTCATATTACAACAAACACATCATTTTGACATTCAGAAGGACCGCGGCGAAAATCTAAATTCGCCAGTAAGTATAGTAGAAAGCAAGGCGATTTTATACAAGGTGATGTTACTGGCGAATTTAGCTTTTCGCGGCGGCCCTTCTGAATGTCAAAATGATGTGTTTGTTGTAAGATGAATTCGCCTTGTTTTCAACAAACACATCACTTTGACATTCAGATGGACCGCGGCGAAAATCTAAATTCGCCAGTAACACCGGCTTGTATAAATTCGCCTTGGTAGAAAGGATAAATTCGCCTTACCGGAGCTCCTGATTTTAAGGCAAATTTGTACTGGCGTATTTATACAATGTGGTATTCAAGGCGAATCTAAACAAGGTGGTGTTACTGGCGAATTTAGATTTTCGACGCGGTCCTTCTGAATGTCAAAATGATGTGTTTGTTGTAATATGAATTCGTCTTGTTTACAAGAAACACATCATTTTGACATTCAGAAGTACCGCCTCGAAAATCTAATTTCGCCAGTAACACCACCTTGTATAAATTCGCTTTGGTGGTGTTACTGGCGAATTTATAGCGTTTTCTTTTCTCGAAAAAAGGCTGCACTTATTCTGCCTTTTTCATGTTCTTTTCTCAGCCTTTCACAAGGCGTCGTGTTCTTTTCTCAGCAGGTTGCGCTCTGATCCGGCGAAAGTGCTGTCTTTTCTGCCCTCAAATAAACGTGAGGGTGAGAGTTGCATGGTTGATTTTTAATTTAATCTTGTAAAAATGCAATTATTTTCCTATCAGAAATAAGTGTTAATAGTTTTCGAAGGATACGCGCACAAACATTAAGAAGGACAGAAAAAAATTTTAAAGTTCTTGATTTGGCTTCTGTTGCTCTCATAAATTAAAATAAAACTACTTTGAGATTTATGTAAACATCCAATTTAAAAGCAATTTATGTTTTCATCAGGTAAATGTACTTCATATGCACATATAAATAAATATATTGCACAAAAGCTTATATGTACTTCTATTTCACAGCAAAGCTACACTTTTTCCAAGTGAATTTGCAAGGAAGCATCACGGTGCCACTGCTAAGGGAGTGGTGCGAGAGAGCCAACTGTCAGTTTATCGAACCTTGTATTATTGAATCATGGTTGTGGTTTTAAGTTCTCTAAACATTTATTTAAGCTTATAAAGTTTACGACATACATACTGATAATTATCAATTGTTAAAAATAACCAACTTATAGTTAGCTTTTCGGGGGGATTTCGATAAATACCTCACTTTTAATTAGCCATGACAAGACCAACTTAAAATGAGTTGAAAAGTCATGTAGGAGTCATGCAGCCACAATCGGGAGTTTGTTTTCCTAAAAAATTTCTATTCAAAAATGCTCATACAAAAACTACTTTGAATAATTTTTTTTTCTGCACTTCACAAATTCTTTTTCGAATTCAGAACAAATAAAATGAAGTTCGAAATATTATACTATCATTTTGATGTTATGTCTGACGGGATTCCAGTATAGGACCACCAACAGCAGAATATGTAATCAAATAAACAAATATGCAATGTTGAATATAAATTAAATAAACAAAAGTGTAAAAAATTTAAATAAATAAAAAAATAAAATGTTTTTTTTTTGTATAGATATTTTATGTCCAAAAGTAGTTAGTTACAAGTTAGTTGTCATGTAATGCAGAGGTATCCTGGCCTGACTTTTTTGCGGCCATCGCCCCACAAAAGTAGTTAGCTTTTTCGAACAAAATATACAGTTAATAGTGCGCACTAGTGTTCGCGTAAACAGACTAAAGTTAGGTATAACCTAACGTCACTCCCTGCAGGAATACTTTATCAAAGATAAATTGCTACTTTATTTTATTTGAAGAGGTGCAAATAACCAACCTGATTTTTATGTACTTTAAACCCGCTAACGTACCTAACGGTTATGATTTACATACAGTGACTCGAAAATGACCACGTGTTATTATTATTTTTTTTTAAATGTTTTTAAATTTTTTTGTAGTTCATCATATAATTATTATTTATTGTTATGTCTTCTATTTTTTCGATCATAAATAATCGTTAATGTACATATGTATATGTATATAAAAAAAATCATAATTTAACCGTTAAAGTTAAATTTAATAATTATTTTATATTTTTTTATTATTTCGAAAAAATTTTACTTACTATTTATAATTTTTATTTTTTCGTTCATAAAATATTTAAAACGGCCATAAAGTGCAAACTCCAATATAGCGGCTAGAATCCAAAATAGCGATTATATTTGATCGAATACAAACTTAACGATTATTTATGATCGAACAAATAGAAAACAAAAAAAATAAATAACGATCATGCGATGATCTAAAAAAAAAGTCCTGGTATTTAACAGTTATTTTCGATCCCTGCTTAAAACAAATATATTTTTAGCAAAAATTTTCTTAGTAGTGCCTTAGTAGTACCTCGTACAAATATAGTACATATTTGAGAAAACTGGTACCGCTTCCAAATCACTAAAAGTGTACTAGGTCGACATCAAATAAATTTACCTGTAGGGTCGTTTTCTGATCAAGTTTTACATGTGTATATTTGTATGCATATACATATGTAAATATGTATGTGGATATGTAAATACTGATTCATCACTAAATCAATGAAACCGATGATAGTTGCACGTAGGCGCTGCGAACGGGCAGGTGATTGGAGATTGAGCAAACACCCGTATTTAGATTTGCAAGTACATATGTATGTATGTACATATATGTATATGTCCATTAGGGTGGCCCTTAAATGTAGGAAGAAAATGTTTACATCAAATTTCCTAAGCCTCAATATCTACGCCGATGCTACTATAGTCGAAGATATTATTCATCTTATGCTTCAATATTCATAGTACTTATGATATTGCCACAACTAAGGGATGTGGCCAACCTTTTCAAGCTGAGAAGCAACAGATCACATATAAAAGTTCAGATTACCCTACGAAGACGTCTTAACCGACTCCAATCGGGACCAAAATATAAATCTAACATCCTCGACTTTAGTAATACCGATTTTGGGTTATACACAAAAAAAAAATTATTTTTAATTTTTTCAGTACATAGAGGCATCTGACCCTTTTTGCGACACGCCTTAACCGACTCCAATTGGGGTAAAAATTTATATGTGATATTTATGACCATAGTATTACGAATTGAGGGGGTGGGACTGAAAAAAATCGTTCTTTTCATTTTTTAAGGACCACCCCAATGCCCAGCACTGCTTGAGATTGTGTGTTTGTATGCAATACTTAGCATGCATATGTAAGTGTGGGTCCGAAATGGAGTGTCGTAGCTAAACATTAGCAGGGTAGAGGGTGTTTCCGACTTTTGTTGATTCTTAATTTTTGCGCAGAGTAACTTGCTTTCAGTATATCGACGATTGACGAACATTTGAAAAGAGCGCGCATAACGCGTTAGACGCAGCAGATGAGTGACGTCGACCTTTACGTGAATTGTTCATTGAATACAGTTGTAAAATCTGCCTGATCGGAAGCGAAATATGCTTTGAAGTTAAGTGAAGTTGGATAGCTGCGTGAAGAAACAAATTAGCTGGTTACATTCTGAGAGTACACAATCCAGTTTAAGATCAGTAAAGTGCGAGGTATAGCAATTGAGATTGCGGGCAGTTTGTTATCTTCGCATATTTAAATATGTACCAATACATATCTATTTAGTGATAATGCCTCTATGTAATCCTATTGTACGGATACTCCACTCAAACAAAGTTTTTAAATGCGTCGAAAACTTAATTGACCAGTAATGACTAAACAAAATATATGGATTCAGTGATATTGGCGATAATTGGCTGTGATTTCAAAATGAAAATAAAAAAAGGACAAGTCGAAAAATGAGATGATCTGATCGATCAAGTAAGTGGCGGATAAATTAGATAAATTATGCATGAAAACAATTAACTCATTCATTCCACAGATATCGCGTTTATATCCATTCTACATACAATGATTTTGAGTAATGACTGATGTGCTGCTGCTGCTGCTGCTGTTGATGTTGGAACGAGAAATAAATTGGGAGAATCTTGGAAATACATACATCGTTACATTTTTATTTACAATACTGCAACGAACTCTATGGCATCATATAAGGAGCTTCTCTTCGACTG